GTTTAAAACTTCAGATTGAAAAATTTAAGGATTGCTGGCCACATGGAAAAGCAAGTGGCTGTTTCCTTGAGCAAGAGACTACCATTATTGTTTAGTACTTGTTGATTCCAGGAATCGATTCGAGATTGTTTCAATAGGCTTATAACTTTCGACACAGACTAAAATAAACTGAATATACATGTAGTAATATAATATATAAACTGAATGCGCAGGAATAAAATCATCTGAGTTATTAGTTACAAATTATTAGAATGATCAACACTGCATTATTATACTAAAATGCTAGAAAATTGAAATCTATTACAATTCTAATATGCTTATAAAAATAGAATTGATAAAGAGATTTTGAGCTACATTGAGCGGGAAGGTAATATTCCTGACATTGTTAAGTTTATTGACTTTAAATATTTCATCAGAGGACTTGTAAGCATTCCTTTTTCATGCCATGCATATATCATGTAATAATGCAATCCACAATCCTGTCTTTTTAGAGAGAAATAATTAGTGTTTTAGAATATAACATAAAAAATTGAAAAAGTTTCCGTTATATATCAGGTATTTTCTACCAATGTGGCTTTAATATAAGAAAACATTTTGTAAATGATTTTTGATTTATGCCTATGAGTATTAACCTGAGGTACATGTAGCAACCTTCTTTGTAAATAGTGTATTATGTTTTTGTTACAGGTTTGATTTATTGGTGCTATCTTAAGGTTCTAGTTACATTGTAACATGTTTGAACTAATAAAGTTATTTTATAGATTATCTAATTAATTAAATGTTTGATAATGTTGAGATAAATTTTTGATATTGCTTTAAAGATATACTTTGTTCATTCTTGAGTAAAATATTTTAATCATGGAAATCTGTTGAATTCTTACTAAATATGTCTAATCAAAAACAATGTATGGGAAGATGTATTCCCTATTATATGTTCTGCAATGTTGGTCTTTTCTTCAAAAAAAGAACTGCAAGTTTTTTAATGACACTATAAATTCATATTGTGCCAGAGTTTTAAACATTATATATCTTCATGTGAGGTCAAAACATGTTTATTTTATATCTACAAAGAGACTGTGTAGCAATAAACAAATATTTTCTCATATCAAATGTGCATAGTACATCTTTAAGAAAAACTAATTAGTTTTAATCGTGTCAGGTTTTCACTTATTTTTAGAAACAGTTAATTTGTTGCATGATGTATTTGCATATGTTCAGTAAGGTATTATTAATGACAACAAACATTTAACAAAGTATATAGGGTATGAAACAAGTTCATCTCTTTTATTTTTAATTTTAGTTAAAATTTTACAGACATGATATTCAAATCACATTCCGTTTATTGGGAACATTATTAACTGCTACATGCTTTTGAGTGATATATTAAGTACATGTATGAGTATGCATCTACAAGATTGAAACATTTTGTATTAATTGTCAGACAATATTGAAATGCTTATTTTTCCATATATCAATTAAATGATTTTTTTCTTCAAATATTGAAATGCTGAACATTTTTTAAAGGGTTTATTTTCTTATTTTCAAGTAGAAACACTGAACTGTTGTGTACAGTTTGTTAATTATTGTCAAAACATCTAACAATGAGAATAACTGGAGTTATCATACATTCAGACATAGAATATTGGAGAGAATATCTGCTGATCTATACTCACTTAAAGTTCAATGTCAAACAGCTTATAGCTTTATAGCGTTCATGGGGCGAAATACCCATCTCTCTCGGGATTTATTCATTTAGTAAACCAGAATTTAAATGGTTTTGAGTTTTTAACTGCAGTAACTGGACGATAACATATTTCCACTGTTCTGAGTAAGATACCGGCCAGAAAGCCTGCATCATTTGAAAATTATAACATTTTACAAGGAACATATTTTCATTGTCAGTACATAATTATATACATTGTACTTTCACTTACAATATTAATAATTGATATAAACTATGTTAACCTTAGAGATTATTGCTAGAGTAGAAGGAGACATTTCTAAGAATTGTTGATTTTTGTATAATAATGCATGTACAAGCATTTGCATACATTTTGAATGACATGCTTATTTTTTCACCGTTATGTTCAGCTGAATTAGTTGTATATGTCAAAGGTATAACCTAGTATAATGTTTTTGATCTGAATGGTGGTAAGGTTTGTCGTGTTGCTGCCCATGGGAGCGCACCCGACATGGTGGTAAGGTTTGTCGTGTTGCTGCCCATGGGAGCGCACCCGACATGGTGGTAAGGTTTGTCGTGTTGCTGCCCATGGGAGCGCACCCGACGGACAGATATATTTTGATCTGAACCCTGCAACAAATTGTTCTAATGAAAGACATTTAAGTTGGTAATGTAATATTTTAACAAATTTAACAATGTTGATGATACTGACAAAATTGAATATGCAACCATGATGAATATACTGTATCCGTTCTGTGTAATCTTACAATTGTATTAGAGGTCCTTATCTGATCTTAAACATCCTTAATTTTAGTATTTTCCTGTTTCTAAATGGTTAATGATTCACAAGTATATATCATGAAAAATAATTGGCCACTTTAGTCCTTTTATTGTTAACTAACCAGAGATAATGTAAAGACTTTACTACTTTACTTCCTGTACTCTCAATTTCGTCCGCCCACTGTTTGCTTGTCCACATTTTCAAAATTTGCAGTCATAATAATGCAAAATATATTTTGCCCTATCATATTTGGTATGTCACAAACCATTGTTAAGCATGATCTTTTCCTCTAGTGTAATTGTAGAGATGAAATGATAAATTTTTATGAACTGTATCTTGTCATCAAGATCCTTTTATTGTTTCTTTTAGCTCACCTGAGCATACAACATGTAGCATTGATGAACTTCTCTGAACTACAGTAAGTTGAAGTTAAAGGGACTTGTGTAAAAACTTCCACTCATTATGGGACTTCGACTCATAATTATCCTGTGTGTTTATCACGCGACACCGGGTCATGGAAGTTTGCAAAACAAAACTAATTTGTACTGTTTATTTTCAAAATTAATACAACTATGCCAATTGAATAATTTGGAAAATAACAATAACAATAAGGGCATTTGATCAAAACTGTGAACTGTGTAATTATCACCTGTCACACAAATTGATCGGAAATCATCTTTACAGCCAGAAAAGGTGTGAAAAATTTCTCGAGATCGAATTTGTTAAAATAATCGAAGGACTTAGTGTTAATTTAGGGTAAATTGTACTTGATTTATTCTATATGGACCACGAAAAACCTCCACACATCGAAAATTCAACACATAAAATTTCAATTCCTGCATGAGTTTTTATAAAGAATATACAGAAGGAAATTTTTTCGACACATCGAGAAAATTGACTAATCAAATTGGAATGTCCGTCCCTCGGGAACCCGCCTATGGGCGGGTCCTCTCAGGACGGATATTCCGGTCCGAACCGCAACATATGACAGATATTATTATTCTTGCATAACAGACTGGCGTTTCCGTGATTTTTAACTATGCTGGAAATTTCATCCGGCATTGGGGTGCCAGATGAATCGTGTGCCAAACAACATCTTTTTAGCGCACTTTATGAATGAACCGCGTTAAAATGATGTCATTTAAGAAGGGAAATATGTGCATAGGATTACGTTATTTTGACGGATATTCTGGGCTGAACCGCAACATATGACTTGATATTAGATTAGTTTTTCTCTAAAATCTAAAACTATAAACAATTTAAAATGTTAAAATATATTCCTTATGAAAACAATTTGGAATTGAGCCTTATTTAAAGTGTTTAATCACCAAATGTTTTTGAAAATATTTCACAACCTCGGAATAATTACCTTTGATATTTAGATTTCAAATTCAAACATGTTTTTTTTTTTTAAATAGTTTAGAGTCAAATGATTTGAAAAAAGAAAGTACATTTTGAAGTTTATAAAATTCCTGTTTAATATATACTGGTGGCAAAGGCTTAATGCTTTCGGTTCCAGCACTTTAAGGGTTAAACTAAAACTACCTGTTATTTTTTTAACTCTTACCCCACTAAATATCTTAAATGGACTTTCCCATTTTTCAATCTAGACATTACCATTAATTGATTTTAGGGATATTTATAAATAAGTTTTGACTGAATAGCGAAAAGTGCAGATGACACATGTATGTCGGCTAATCTTGGTCTGCACACATGAGCAGATGAATAACGGATAAGATAAATATTAAGAGGATATTTTTTGGTTTGAGTGAAATATGGAATATATTTTCACTCAACAATAATGATAAAATGCAACATATTTTCACGAGCCGGGATGTCATTTTATCCTGTTGAGTCAAAATTTCAAGAAAAAATAACCTTTTCATTATTTTAATTTCATTACCAAAGAAAAATGGTTATGAACGCCCTTGCTTGCTTCGCAACTGCAATTGCACAGCGCGCAGTAATATCATTATTGTCTTGTTTTGAACGCGATATTTAGCGCTACATTGTGACGTCACGTAAGCAACTCTTTAAACGTCTGTACAGCGTTAATAATAATAAAAAATATTGGTGTTCGGATTTATTTTCTTAGTTAGACCATTTTCTATCATTCTAGATAGCTTTCAAAACAAAATTCAACAAAAGTTGTTTTGTATTTATCAGATTTTTCAAACAAAATGGCGAAAGAAGTCCTTTAAAATAAAAATGAATTTTGACTCCGCCCATTTTCATATTATATTTCATATTTATTTTTAAAAAATATGAAATATATTTGACTGATATAGCAACATATTTCATGTGTAAAATTAAATAAATATTGGTATTATCCTGATGAAGGTAATTATATGACAGAAACCGGTAGATTAATTAAACGTAGACCCACTCTGGTGTTTGTGATGTGTTGTTCTTCATCCCTTGCTGTACTGTAACCATAACCGACTAATTAAGTTTACTAAGGACATCAAGGAAGTAATACTGAAACAGGAAACCTCGGCTGGGATTCATTGAATTTGATATAATCTGACAGCCAAATTATATACCCCTTGTTACATAGGAGAAGACAATTTTAACAAGTGAAATTTTTTAAGGAATTTAATTCAGGTACATGTACAGTATTTTTAACAATTTATTTTATAGCTTAAATAATCAGACTAATCAAACACATGAATTACTTTGGTTTATTTGTTTTTGTTTTGTTAACATAGGTTTTATCAGACTCTGTAAAGTAATGTTAGCAAGTTTGGAAAGTATAATAGGAACTTATTAAATCTAAGGAAGCACTATAGGCTGATATTATATAATAATAATGGAATGGCTGTTATCAACTGATTTATAAACAAGTTCTTGACTTTAATGTTTATACTAGTTGAGAGTAATGTTTCTCAGCTGGAGTTTGGAATCACACATTTGGTTAGTTTTTTAAGCTTATATTCATTTTAACTATATTCATGAAACATTTATTTATCAGCATCATCAATTCCACACCTTCCCCCACTCACCCCAGCTTTTCTATCATAAACAGACAAAAAGACAAAAATATATCTGGATATTAAGAAAATAATATCCCCTTTTTCAGTCTAGAATTTCTGTTATGTTTTTTAACCAGGTTTTCCGAAGGAAAAAACTGGTTATTAGATTGAGGTATGTCGGCGGGCGGGCGGGCGGACGGGCGGGCGGGCGTAAACAATTTCTTCTGTGCGCAACTCCTCCTACATTTCTCAACGGATTTTGACCAAACTTTCACAGAAGCTTTGTCATCAAGTGCCCTGGCGCATATTGTCGGGGTTTTGCGATTAGATAATATTTGACCTAATTATGGCCCTTTGTTTTTTTTCCTTATATAAAATATATAGTGAACAATTTCTTTTGTGCGCAACTCCTCCTACATTTCTCAACAGATTTTGACCAAACTTTCACAGAAGCTTTGTCATCAAGTGCCCTGACACATATTGCCAGGGTTTTGCAATTGGTATATATTTGACCTAATTATGGCCCTTTGTTTTTTTTTCCTTATACAGAATATATAGTGAACAATTTCTTCTGTGCGCAACTTTTTTTAAACAGGTTTTCCGAAGGAAAAAACTGGTTATTAGATTGAGGTATGTCGGCGGGCGGGCGGACGGGCGGGCGGGCGTAAACAATTTCTTCTGTGCGCAACTCCTCCTACATTTCTCAACGGATTTTGACCAAACTTTCACAGAAGCTTTGTCATCAAGTGCCCTGGCGCATATTGTCGGGGTTTTGCGATTAGATAATATTTGACCTAATTATGGCCCTTTGTTTTTTTTCCTTATATAAAATATATAGTGAACAATTTCTTTTGTGCGCAACTCCTCCTACATTTCTCAACAGATTTTGACCAAACTTTCACAGAAGCTTTGTCATCAAGTGCCCTGACACATATTGCCAGGGTTTTGCAATTGGTATATATTTGACCTAATTATGGCCCTCTGTTTTTTTTCCTTATACAGAATATATATAGTGAACAATTTCTTCTGTGCGCAACTCCTCCTACATTTCTCAACGGATTTTGACCAAACTTTCTTAGAAGCTTTGTTATCAAGTGCCTGGCACTTATTGTCGGGGTTTTGTGATTGGATAATATTTGACCTAATTATGGCCCTTTGTTTTTTTTCCTTATATAGAATATATAGTGAACAATTTCTTCTGTGCGCAACTCCTCCTACATTTCTCAACGGATTTTGACCAAACTTTCTTAGAAGCTTTGTTATCAAGTGCCTGGCACTTATTGTCGGGGTTTTGTGATTGGATAATATTTGACCGAATTATGGCCCTTTGTTTTTTTTCCTTATATAGAATATATAGTGAACAATTTCTTCTGTGCGCAACTCCTCCTACATTTCTCAACGGATTTTGACCAAACTTTTACAGAAGCTTTGTCATCAAGTGCCCTGGCGCATATTGTCGGGGTTTTGCGATTAGATAATATTTGACCTAATTATGGCCCTTTGTTTTTTTTCCTTATATAAAATATATAGTGAACAATTTCTTTTGTGCGCAACTCCTCCTACATTTCTCAACAGATTTTGACCAAACTTTCACAGAAGCTTTGTCATCAAGTGCCCTGACACATATTGCCAGGGTTTTGCAATTGATATATATTTGACCTAATTATGGCCCTTTGTTTTTTTTCCTTATACAGAATATATAGTGAACAATTTCTGCTGTGCGCAACTCCTCCTACATTTCTCAACGGATTTTGACCAAACTTTCTCAGAAGCTTTGTCATCAAGTGCCCTGACACATATTGCCAGGGTTTTGCAATTGGTATATATTTGACCTAATTATGGCCCTTTGTTTTTTTTCCTTATATAGAATATATAGTGAACAATTTCTTCTGTGCGCAACTCCTCCTACATTTCTCAACGGATTTTGACCAAACTTTCTTAGAAGCTTTGTTATCAAGTGCCTGGCACTTATTGTCGGGGTTTTGTGATTGGATAATATTTGACCGAATTATGGCCCTTTGTATATTTTTTCCTTATACAGAATATATAGTGAACAATTTCTTCTGTGCGCAACTCCTCCTACATTTCTCAACGGATTTTGACCAAACTTTCTTAGAAGCTTTGTTATCAAGTGCCTGGCACATATTGTCGGGGTTTTGTGGTTGGATAATATTTGACCGAATTATGGCCCTTTGTATATTTTTTCCTTATACAGAATATATAGTGAACAATTTCTACAGTGCGCAACTTCAAAAATTAAGCAAAAATAAAGTACTGTTTACCTTTCTAAAACATTTGGGGAAAAAAGGCGAATAGACAAAATAAAATTTCTCAATCATTTTTGTTTGAGGAATATTAAAAAAGCCATAATTCCTCCTAAAAATTCAATTAAAAACAAGTACCCCTTCATGACAAAGCTTCTGTGAAATATTTTGCTGAAAACCTGGTTGCATCGCATTGCGATGTTCCTTGTTTTTTCTTTGACTAGTTAAGATGGAAGTTTGTCATTTGACATTAACAGTGCTGAGGTGATTATAACCCAACTCAGTTAAAAATATTACAGGCTTGCAAATGTTTACATTTCCAATCTGTCTCTTGTTCTTTTTTAGCTCACCTGAGCTAGCTCAGGGTAAGCTTTTATGATTGTTGAATGTCAGTCGTATGTCGTCCGTCCACATTTGTTCTTAAACACTCTAGCGACATAATTGTCATCAAACATGGTCAGGATGCTTGTCTAGGTAATTGCTCGGATGAGTTCGAACATGGGTCATCTCAGATGAAAAACAAGGTCACAGGCGCTAAAAATAGAAACATGTTATTAACACTCTAGTGGCTACTGTTTTGATCCAAATATCCTGGAAATTGGTTTGAAAGATTGTTTTCATGATTTCTAAGTCAAGTTCGAATATGGGTCACCTTGGGTCAAAAACTATGTAACAGGAGCTAAAAATAGAAAAACATTGTAAACACTGGTGGTCACATTTTTGACATAATTGTCATCAAACTTGGTCAGGATGCTTGCTGAGGTAATTGCTCGGATGAGTGCGAACATGGATAATTTCGGATGAAAAACTAGTTCATAGGAGCTAAAAATAGAAAAATCTTATTAACACTCTAGTGGCTACTGTTTTGATCCAAATATCCTGGAAATTGGTCTGAAAGTTTGTTTTGATGATTTCTAGGTCAAATATGGGTCACCTGGGTTCAAAAACTAGGTCACACGGCTCATATATGGAATATCCTTGTTAACACTCTAGTGGTCTCATTTTTGACTCACCTATCATGAAACTTGGTCAGAATGCTTGTCTAGTAAAGCTCGGATGAGTTCGATAGATCAGGTGAGCGATCTATAGCCATCTTGGCCCTCTTGTTGTAATATCAGATTGGCATGCTCTGGTAAATAGAAACAAACAGACAATGGTACAATTAATACTCAACATGTTTATGCTAAATTTTAGGTAAAACATGGCGGTCCCAGGAAAGAAAGCATCAAAACAATTTTCATCATCTAGAGCATCCCTCGCATCAGATGAAGATCATCAAATTTACTGCCAGCCTTGTGATGAGGAAGGAACTAGACTCCCTGCTCATGGTTACTGTACTGACTGCAAGGAACACCTTTGCAAAACATGCTTTACAGTCCATAAGAAAAATAGGCTTTCCAAACATCATAAACTTCTGGATGCAACAAGTATGCCTAAAGTTTTGCAGCAACCCTCAACATCCATTCACACAAGCCAGTCTGATGATCTTACAACACCCTGTTGTAAACATCCACAAGAAATCATCAAGTTCTACTGCAATGACCATAAAAATTTACTTTGCAGTGTTTGTGTTACCCTTGAACACCAACCTACTTCCTGCAAAGTTGATTATATACCTGATATTTCTGGTAATATAATAGACAGCAAAGAATATCAAGTTATCTTGAAAGCACTAAATACCACTTTTGATCATTATCAACAGATGGTAGAAGATGCCAAGGAAATGACGGGGAAATCGAACAGATCACTAAAAGATGCACTTGAAGATATTAAAAAGTTTCGGAAAGAAATAAACCAGAGACTTGATCAACTGGAGAGACAAGTTGTGCATGTAGTCAAGGTCAAAGAACAAGAAAATAACTCAAATATCACATCAGTAGAAACATCGTGTGAAGAAGTTACCAAATCTTTGAAGATATCTTCAGAAAAAATCAAACAGCTGAACACATCAACACAAGCTAATGCACTGTTTATGGAGCTTAAGCTTGCAGAAAAAATGATGGAAGATGTTGAGAAAACTGCACTACACCTTTCAACATATGATGTCAAAGAGCACAACTTTCAAGCAAATAAAACAATATTAACCAAGCTTATAACAGAGAGGTCATTAGGTACATTGACACAGAAAACATTAAATAAAGAATGTCAACCTATACAAATAAAAACTAGACAATCTTCAAATGAGGGAAAAATCTGTGTGAAGACATCAAAAGATAAAAAAAGATGCTGGATAACAGGAATGACTCTGCTGACTCCTGATCTTCTTATCATCACAGACTGCAATAACAATGCTGTAAAGATGGTGGATACCAGCAGTCAATCTGTGTCTGATCAACTACAACTAGATGATGGACCATTGGATATCACCACAGTAACCAGTACTGTACTTGCTGTCACACTTCCTGACATACATACAATAGAGTTTATATCAATCTCATTAAACAAACTCATAAAGAAGCACACTATGAAGGTTGATGGAAATTGTAATGGTATAAGCTGTTACCAAGGTAAACTTGTTGTGTCATTCTATAATCCTACAAAACTGCAGATCCTTGATATGAATGGCACTATACTGTCAACAATTGATGGAAAAAATATTTTTGAAAGTCCAAATCATGTCACATGTAACAGAAGTTCTATCTATGTATCTGACTGGTACATGAAGACAGTAACAAGATTAAACTGGCAAGGTGATGTGATAGATAGTTATGGTGCTTCAAGTCAGCCTAGAGGAATGTCACTGTCTGATGATGGTACTGTTTTTGTATGTGACAGGGCGAGAAATGTTATAGAAGAGATATCAGGAGACTGTTCTACAGGAATGAATGTGTTGGAAAATCTGAATTATCCCTATACTGTTTGTTGGTGTGGTGAAACAAAGAAGCTATATTACAGTTGTTGCAGGACTGATGAAATTGACAACTTTCTATACATTTATAAACTGTCATAAAATTTACACCATCATATAAAAGGTGAAAAATCATGTTGTCCTCTAAAGTTTACACGGCTGAAAACAACTAATATGCATTGACCTTTACTACAAAAAAGAGAAACTAGACTTGTGAATTTAAGCCATAGACACCGAGTGAAAACATTGATAATTATTATTCCTTTATCAAGAAAAATGTGTAGTGTAGAACATGTCTTAAAACTTAAAATATGAAAGTGGTAGATATTCCAAAATCACATTTGTATGGCAATTTGTATTATATTTTAGTGCCAATTACACTGTAAATATGTAAATGTGTTTTCATTCTTCTTTACTAAATACTCCTCATCAAAATGCTTTATTTAAACTGTTCTTATTGTTTAAGCATTAAGTCATTTTGTAAGACATAAATAATATTCATTCTTTAAATACTTGATTTTGATAAAAAAAATACATTTTGTAAATACTTTATGAAATAAGTATCAAGTGATAATAAAAAAACCCATTAAAACTATATTAATTTGACTAAACTGCGGGTTATAGACGATTACTTTTGAAGAAAGCTATTTTGACAACATTTAAAAAAAGCTATTTTGACAATATTTGAAAGAACTTATTTTGACATATTTTTGAGTGAAGTAAATTCATGTACATATACATTCATTATTTGGTGTCCTTTCACACAGAAAGCGAGTTATTATCTTTTGTCTGTACCATAGAATTAAACAAATATTCCCCATTTTATAAAAATGTATTAATTAAAGGCCCATTCAGCCTAAGAAATGCTGTCATTTGTATTCTTCAAAAGCTTTTTAATTTTGGTGTACTTTCACAGTATTCTAAAAGTAACCAATTACCTAAACCACCTTTTTCATCTCATGCTTTCTGACAACAAGAACAGTTAGAGTGATTTAGTATTTTGTATGGAAGTCAAAATTATATTATGTACTTTGGTTTTATGTTGCTACTTTCATAAAAAATTATTTCACTTTTTTCTCTGTTTTCTTCTAATATTCTCTAAAAACAATTATTTAAGTATTATGAAATCCATGTTTGACCTTTCAAAAAAAGCATTATGTGATAATCTTAATATATGTTTTGTAAAATAATCAGATCAATAATAATTAATAATAGATTTTTAGTTAATTATTAATAATTTGTCATCATTTAAATCATGATCAAACTGTGTTTATTGGAAAATTGTTGCTAAGTTACAGCAAAACTACTGACTCAAGTTTGTGATGTGTTCATGTTTTTGCCTAGTCCATATACAATTAAAACCAAATGATAACAAAAAAGCGTTTCAAATTAAAATTTGCATTCAAAATCCTACTAAAAATAGCAATAATAATATTTTGCTGTAGAACATTTTAATTTGTTAACAAAATACATGCAATATTCATGTTTCTTAAATAGCAAAGATATTTTATGTTTCAACTGTTAAAAGTATCAACAACATTATGGAAACCATCAAACTGTTTAAAAATGTTATTTAAATATTTCATTAGAGATTTACTTTGATAGACTTCATCATTTTTTGTGGATTTTGTGTATAAATGATACTTAGTAATCAATTTCATTTAAAGGACAA